TTTTATGTGTAAGCATACTGTAAGCAGCTAAAAGTGGGTTTGGCTACCCTTACTTTATTTTTCCAAGGGTTTTTCCTCTTTCTAAACAGATGGCTTGTCTGGTTATAATGAGTCCCTGAATGAAGAGAGTTATAATGGTGATGATGATAGAAATGTATCATGTCCTTTGTTTAAGAAGTTCAGCTACAGTGGGAACGCCACAGGCTTCCCAAGAGGAGCTGGAGGAGGTATTATGTCTCTGTCTGCTGAGACTGCTGCCCCCGCAACCCTGTCCCGATTAGGTAGAAGACAACAAGTAGGAAGAAGAAATCTTTGCATTTTATCTTTTTTAAACAGTATTTTTTTTAGCTAAAGAGACAAAACATTTGGTTTGAGGCTGAAGGCCAACAATTAATGATAAACACTTTATCAGGTACTCCCCATACTTCTAACAACAAGGGGGAAGAATGTGAAACATTTTTTTTAGAGAGGCTTAAAGTTCTTCCTAGTTTAAGTTTAAAACTTGTCCAAAAAATATATATGTATCTGTATTTATCCTAGAAACCTATGTTCTTAGCAAAATAATCCTATATCATGTCATCATTCTAACAATTTTGAACAAACAAACAATAAACCCTAGAAAACAGAAATTAGGGAGCCCCAATGCAACCTAACGGGTCCAATTGACACAAATTGAGCAAAAAGGAGGTAGAAGATAAAAAGCTTTATGATTTCTTACCCCTTTTACACCACAGCATATGATCATTTAAGTCTCTCTGCACCAGTTAAACCCTTAACTAGCTCCAAAATAATAAACATACCCCCCCCCCCCCCAAAAAAAAAAATCGTTAAAGGAACCCTACGTAACTTTTTATACATTGAGTACCAACAACTGTACTCAGATTATACATCACATTTTCCAATCAGTTCATCCTTATACAGTTGTTTTTGCAAAGGTATATATTTCTGTTTTGTTTAAAGCTACAGTGTGTAATAATTACAGGGATATAAAGTCAGAAATTGAATATATTATACATAACTATGTTATTTATCATCACCTATGAGCTCAGCCTTTTAACCATAATATTTACGTTGCCTTAGAATTCGTTATTTATAATTACATAGGAGCGGGTCTCGCAGCCATGGAGGCTGACATCTTTGCGCTACGGCAGCGCAGAAGCAACAAACTAGCGATTGCGAGATCGCCCATTACGCTCGAAAGTAACTACGGCAAGTTGAGAGATGAACTGAGACGGTACTGAACAATAGATGGCAGTATTATGCCTGAGAAGCGTTTAGTCTGCCTGAAACCAAAGAAGAAGAAGAAGCAGGTATACTGCGCTTCAGTAACAAGAAAGGTGATCAAGGCGGCAGGCATGAGTGACTTTGCAAACTGTTTGGCACTGTGTTGCCAAACATCAGACGAATGGAGGATCATGCCTACTCTGTATCACAACGAAAAGCGGCGGACACCGAACCCCCGTCATCTAAGAAGCGGAAACACGACGAGAATAAACGCAAGCGTGACAAGAAACGACAAAAAACACGGATCAACATTGGCACGGCATTTACACGATGGAAGGCACTGACGGAGGAAAAAGGTTTTCAAAGTGACGCTCAAGTTGCCAGTTTTCTCTTGGACAGGTAAGGCCACAGCTTCATAAAATTACCACAGCTGATAGTGGCGTGTGTGAGTGTGAGAGAGACAGATATATGAAGCTGCATATTAGCGAGCTACGGATATATACCTCGGTTACTTCTCTCCGGCTCCTTTGGAGATCTTCAATTCTTTCCTCCTCCGCTATAGTCAACCCCCGCTGGCACCTCTCTCTCGCCTGGCCCTGGCTGCACGCCCACCCCGCCCTCTCTGCCCTCTTCTTTTCCCTCTTCCTCGCGTTGTAACCCCCGTGCCACAAACAAGACTTGGACTCTGTAAACGGGGAATATATACCGGTATTCTTCCAGCGAACACAATCTCGCTGTTAAACTAATGACTACAATTACTTCGTCTGTTTATATCACCATGCAAAGCAGCTCACCAAAACGTCACAACGATGTAGAATAAAAATAACGGATATATTTATTATTATCAAATCTATACCCTACACAGACTAATGAAATACTATCTGTAAAATTATCTATGTAAACAAACCTCATTAATTGAGAAGGTAGGTGATTCCGACGTCGTGGAAGACATTTTGTCCCGTAACGCTCGCCGTATTGTTGGGGGGGAGAAGCGGTGGGGGGGAGATGTTCATGTTGCTGCAGTCTGCAGTCTGGACGTTAGATGTCGCTGAAAATTACACACTGTAGCTTTAAGTCCGTTTATTCCATACATCCACCCTGATAAGCTAAATCGTTATTTTATGGTTTGGAAGCATCATTTTTTTCTCCAACTCTTCTTAAATCATAACCCCATTCTCTGTCATCTTTGAATATTAAGTGGAAATAGACAGTTTTTTTTTTAAGTAAATTAATTCAAATGTAATTCAGTTGACCTGTTTGAATGAGCTCATTTGAATGCATTTTGGAGCATATTGGATCATGAATGATTAAAAGCCAAGTGTGGACAAACAACAACAAATGGAAATTTACCATTCCACAACAAATTCAAAAGTAAAAGATATCACTTCCTGTTCGAGTTGGAGGGGATAAAGTGATGGCAGCAAATGATCATGTGAAAGTTTTGAATAGGTCATTGATGATTCACAGACATTTTGTTTCCGACTTTTTTTGTGGGAAATACTCCTCTGTCTTTCATTGCAAGAAGTCAGATTTTGAGGCCTGAACATACCCAGATGCTGTAATAGAGCAAAAAGCATGAAATAATTTAGCTATAGAAGCTTGATCAGATACAGTATTCTAAAGAAAACAAATGGCTGCTGCTGTGACCAGTAATGGTCGACTTCCTTTGAGGTTTGAACCATGGTTCTAAGAGATTTTAAAAACTTTGCAGGTGTATTGTGGAGCTATTTATTTTGTAACTTTTGTGAAAACCGCTAAATAAAGCCTTAGCGTAAATTCAATCTGGAAGACTCATATCAGCTTCAGCTTAAAGACCTGTGATATCACTCATTCAGCTCCAGCCAATCAACACGATGGCCAAACCTTCTCAGAAGCCAATCAACTTGCAAGATGCCCTTCATTTAGCTGCTGGCCCAGCTTCTCTCTCCTGCACACAAGTTAACTTTCACCCACCTCCACCCCATGTCCTCCCTCATTCTCAGACTATTCTCAGTCTCACTCACCCTCTGGCTTATTCCAACACCAGTGTCTGGGCCCCGGAGGAAGACTACTCTAATCCTTTTCTAGGTTACTCATCCAAGCATATGTTGATTCACAGCATCGAATTCTTCTGCCGGGGCCCGGACGAGAAATAACTTATTTCATTCATGTCTTTATCTGCTTCTATCTCCTTGAACCCTACTTGTCGCAGCAGATTGTGCTGGAGGCTTCTTCCTGTTAAAAGGGGATTTTCCTCTCCACTGTTGCTACATGCATGCTCAGTGCAAGGGATTGCAGAGAGTCAATGAGTCCTTGCTTTATCCTTAGATATAAATATTTTAAAGAATATGATTGTGGTAGCTGTATAAATAAATGTATATAATTTTTAATTGCAGCTTTTCTCTGTGTGAGTCTCTCCAGGTTGAATTACTCTGATTTGAATCCCAGCTCAAAATTTTAATGGGCATTCACATCATGATTTAGTTTCTTAAAATAGAAAAAAAAGAGATTAACATAAATAATATTGAAATAATAATAATGTTGGCTAAAAAAACATATATGTATCCACGGTATGCATTCAATATTTATTCAGGGCTCCTGTTGCTGCGGGCTGTGAAAGTTGTTTTAATATTGGCCCTCAACTTGTCTCCACTGTCTCTAGGGTTCCTCTTAAACCAGACCCTATTTGGAGTTGTAGTGAGAAAAGTTTGTTGGGCTGTCAAGCAGTGACATCATGGTGCATTCAGTTCAGACTGGCAAAAACAAAATGACCAACACTGGCAGATGGAATCCTTACACACTAGACCTTATACTGCTCTTTGATTTTAGTCCTCCAAACTCTGGGACCTTGATTCAGATTACAAGTTAATTTTATTTATAATTTATAATCTTGTCTTGAAAGATTGACTGTAGTACATAGATAAAGCTTTTGAATGAGATTCAGGAAAATGTTCAAAAAAGATTCATGGGCTTTAATATATAGGCTACATGACTTAAATAAATCATTGAGCCTTCTGCATGAGAATAATATAAGTTAAAATGTTTTTTTGTGTGTGTTTTCTTTCTAATTACAGTATACATCAGATATGTTCATATTGTTTTAATACAACAAAATAATAACCTCTTTATCCGTTTAGTTTTAGTATGTAATTGTTTGTTTGCAGCAGTTCCATTTCAAACTGCATTTAAACGCTTTCTTTTGCAGTGGCAGTGATCCATCTCATACCGCCTGTGCAGCTGTGAGAAAAAAATGTGGCTGTGATCAAATATGAACATTTTCATCAAGGGAAATATGTCTGAGGATTGTTAAACAGAGAGAAATTCCCCGCTGCGTGGATTCACATCATGCGTTTGACATGTGAATAAAACAGATTAACAGAGTTGGGCGTTCATTCGCGCTTAATGGTCAGTTTAAAGGGACCATAAAACTGTTTTTGTGTGATTTGAATATTCTTATCATTCATTTACTTTATTTGTTGTTGTTTTTTTAATGTTTTTTCAAAAGGATATTATTTGTCCCTAATAGTAACGATAACCTCTCCATAGAAATATCTTCATGTTTGGTGCTGATTTCGCTCTGTATTTAAAAACAACCAAACTTCATTTTTTTTGCCAATAATTGAATTAAATAAAATAAAATGTAAAAGAAAACGTTTAAAACTACTGGTGATAAACGTGCGTATAATCCATCAGGTGTCCAGGCATGCGTTGTGGAAACGCGTCTTGCGCCCTCTGGTGGATCTTTCCGAGCACTGCTCTCAGTTTCATTGGGAAGCCCGCAGCTTACGGAGCCTCTATGGGGGCGCAGGGCGCAGTTATCGTCCGCCTGGCACCTGTTGCTGCTTTATTAAGATTTTTCTCACCTGCCTGTTGAGGATTTTAACCACTCAGATCTTCACTATGTCCGAGGAACACATGAACTCCAACTCAAGCGGGTACTATTTTGATAATTCATCAACAAGGATCCAGAGCAGCTTCGCGTTCTCAGGACCCGTTTTTGTCATTCTGATGGTCATGATGGTGACTTTGGTCGTGGTGATAGTTCTGGGAAACGCACTGGTCATTTTGGCTTTTAAGGTTGACAAGAGTTTGAGGAGACAATGCAATTACTACTTCCTGAATTTGGCTATCTCAGATTTCCTTGTAGGTGAGTTCAATCTTTATTTTATTAACTCCTTAAAGAGTCTGTGATGCTATGTTTTTTTTTTTAATCTTTTTTTATTTATTTATTTATTTTACATGAAAAACTTATTCTTACTTGTCTTAAATATAAATCAAGTTTCTGTAGTGTTTAAATGGTTCAGTCAAAGCTGTCATGTGTGCCCAAAATATGTTCATCCAATTGTGCTGTATTGAATAGGATGGAAAGAAGTCTGTCTGGATACTGGAGGTATTTAGGCTGTAAAGACTGATGCTGCTATGAACTATACATTTTTTGTGGACAGTTTTATTCAATTCATTATCAGAATCAACTATAATTTTCTTTTAATTGAGTTACAAATGCTGTTAGAGAAATACTACAATAAGAGCAAATTCTATTATCTGTGTTTGTCTTCTGACCCCCTTCCTCACTGACTGTTTGTAGGGGCATTCTGCATCCCCGTCTATATCCCCTACATCCTGACAGGCAGGTGGACGTTGGGTCGAGGGCTGTGTAAGCTCTGGCTGGTTACAGACTATCTGCTCTGCTCAGCATCAGTCTTCAGCATTGTGCTCATCAGCTATGACCGTTTCCTTTCTGTCACCAGAGCGGTGAGTGGAACATACTGTCCCTAAATACAGTACCTTTTAGTCAGTCAGGTGGGTATCAGCATCTAGCAGGCCTCATACGTGGCTTTAAATTAAGATAAAAATGAACACACAGTCCTTTTTTATCTGATGTTAAAAAATAAAATTAAAATAAGACCATGAAAATACTATCTTAGAGCTTTCTTTAATATTTTATTTGACCATTGCATAATACAGAATCATTTAGGGAGATTGGTAGATAGTAGAATGGTTTACCTCTCCTAAGCTAATACTTTGTTGGAACCCCCTTAGATTCAAATTTGCAATTGAGTCTTATTGATTATCTCTTTGTCATTAGTTACATCAAAGCACAATGATTAACCTGAAATTAAGTTTAGCTTTCCTAGATTGTTTTTTTCTGCCATCTGTGTTACTTAGCAGGGGCACAACTACATGCCTTCTAAGACTCATCCCAGGTGCCCTGCAACGCCCAACCCTCTTCATTGTTTTATGTTTATGTCTATAAAACTGATTTATTCATGGACAACCAGACTTTTATTACCAAATCTCTGCACTCACTCTCTGCTCCTCTCCCTCCTCTGGACCTTTCTGGTCCACATTGACTCACCTTACCTGCCTGCAGTAATTTTCCCAAAATATTGCACTGACAAGGTAGTCAGCAGAATTTCAAACCATACTACGCATCTAGGTTTTTGTTTCCTTTCTACTTTAAGTATTCATAACTGGTGTCATTAATAGTCTGGTCTACAGCAGATGGCATTATCAAATTTATGTCTTTTGTCTTCACCCCTTACTTGTGTTCTTCTTTGCTCAGTCATATGGCAAATAGGTATTATACTGTATAATAGCTTTAATAAATTAAACTTCTTTCTAATGCACTTTTCCAATATGAATGATATTAAAAAATAAATCACTTGGTTTGGGTGGCTGTCTGAGCTAATATTAGCCCAATCTGTTCCTGTCTGTCCTGATTCTTTCTCTCATTTCCTCTCTTATTTCTCTTCATCATCATAGCTGGTTGACATAGTTTTGTGTTAAGGCTTCAAAAATAGTTACATCAGAGTGAAGATATTCAAATCAAGTATATCATTCGTAAGTTCCACAATTTATCTGTTGTATGATTCATCATCTATACTATTGGTTACTACCTGGTAGGGTGGTCAGTATTGATAATCCAAAAAGTATAATTACTGAAACACTGTACATAAATACAATTCTAATTTAGCATGGTATCGATGCAAAAGACAAACGTTGCTTGCATATTTTAGCATTTGTTAAACGTTGATTTCTGATTGATTTGCAAATAAAAAAAATCGCACTTCAGACACCCTTAAAATACTCAAGTTATTAATGTTCATAGAACCATTTATATGCCTTTAATTGTTTTCTTTTTTTATTTATTCGCATGATATTTAAAAGGGTATTGATATTGAGTTATTGAGTTTGAAAATTTATTATCATGACAACCCTACAGCCTGAACAATTAAACCATACAATCTTTTTTTTTCTCCATCCTCCATTTATGCCCCTAAAAGGTGATTTCTTTCCCACCTCTTTATCTTTAGCTTCCTATCATCAGATGACAACATGGTTCCAACATGGTTCTTATTAAAACAATCGAACCCCCTTGGTGACTGAAAATGATTGTCTAATCGTCATTTTGGCCTCCACTGTAGTGCATCACACCCATGCCGCATAAAGAGTCTATCCATTTATTATTGCTTAGCACTAGCAGTAATTTGATTATAGTTTTTAAAGGATCAGAATTATTATACAAAAGTAGCAGTCAAAGCGGGCGTCCTAAAAATAACAACAACAGTACATATGGATAAATACGTGACAAGGTAGTTATAGTGATAAAACTGGACATTATGTTCTGATGAAACCAAAATTTACCTTTTAGCCAACATTCTTAATGGTATTTTATGGCATAAAAGCAAAACTTACTAATCAATATCGATACAGTGAGCCACAGCAATGGCTCCATCATGCTGTAGGATTATTTTTTATTAGAATGAACAGGTTTTTGGTGAAAGCGGTGAATGAAAAAAAACTAAAGATTAGGACAAAGTTATTTCAATCTGAAAAACTCACACGAAGAGAAAAGACAATTAGGAGAAATTTATTGATACAATTACCTTGTCTTTGGTGCTCAGACCTCGGCAGGAAACATAGCGCTTGATTTTGATAGATATGCATGAACAGGAGCAAAGAATAGGGCTGTTTCCCCCCAGTTCTGAATGAGTGGAGTGGAGATAGATGAAGTTGGTCAGTCTGTAGACTGCTGGTTAGCGAGAGGGTCTGCTGAGCTTTATGGGGAGATCCAGTGGATTGCGTGAGCTGATATTAGAACTTCACTCAGGGACCTGGAAGATGGAAGTCCAATTGGATAACACAGGTTGAGAGAACCTATCCGTGATTAACAAGCATGAAGCGACAGTGGAGAGGAAAAACTCCTCGTTGGGAAGAAACCTCTGGCAAAACCAGGCTTAACATGGTGGTCTTCTGCCGGGCCGGTTGAGATGAGACATGGAACGCAGTAAGAGTCCGGGAGGACTGACACTCTGATGAAGCTTAGCTACAATGGTGGAGGAGGGGCTGGAGGTGGGTTCAAACGGTGTCATCTGAATGAAGTCACAGCGCATCCACCGCCTGCGCACAGGAGCAGACAGGTGTGTATCGGAGGCCTTTTAAGGTGAACTTTGGATGCAGATTGGCTTTCGTGGAGGTGTGGCTTAAAGCTGATTGGCTGAGTAGCAGGTGGATGTTGGAAAGCAATTAGTTTCTTCACTTGAACTTCCACCTAGGCTCCATATTTCAGCTTCAAAGAGAGAGTATAAATCTCAATGAATATATCCACAATAAACATTAGCATAGGGTCACCAGAAAAAAATGGCCTCACAATTTTAGACTTTTTGATGATCTTTAGCAAGGTTGATATCAGTCTTGACTTGTGGGGTCTCAATGTTTGATGAGGAGGTATAAAAATAAGATAAAGTTTGACAATGATAACAACTAGCTGCCTTTTATACCCATTATATCATGCGTAATTCACAGGAAGAAAGTATGGAAGACTTGTCAGACAACATGAAATAATAGTTATTAAGTAATAGTTAAAATATTAGTTATTAAATAATACACAAATCTCACACAAAAGGCAATAAAATTGTACCTGATTAATTTTAACATAGCCAAAAATCATATAACTCTTAAAAGTCATATACAAGTTTTCTAAGACTATCATCCTAATTCTCCATATTTTTGAGCAGCACCATGAATGCACCCTGCTCTTTTCCCGCCCTGCCTTGTTAAAGAAACAAATCAAGAAGAAATGAAATAACTGAGAATACAATATTTTACTTTTACCTAAACCAATTGAAGTTTAAGGAAAGACAAATAGTTATTTTTAGGTTCATTTTTTTCATTGAGCGGATGGCCAGTCTCTCTTCTTCTCAATAATGTTTCTCCACTGTATAAATAAGTTACAATAAGAATTTAAAATAACCCCAAAATTTAGTCTGTAACTCACACTATAAAAACAAACACATTTCAGTTGGAGTCCTACTAAAGGCTAAATTCTGAAACTAAATCCGGATTTGATTGAACAGAGTATTCATTTAAAGTTTAAACCAATTTTAGTTTTCTCAGAGCAATTAGTTTGTTTCTCAGTTGAATTAGATAGAATCCACTTTGTAATTAATTGAATTCTGCTTAACAATTTAAAGACAGGGAAGAACTGGAAATAATTTTAGTACGTTTTTATCTTTTTCATCACAAAAACAATCAGCTTCGATTTAACTGTGAATACTTCTCCAACAGGTCTGAGGGAATAAAAAGACCAGAGCGATAAAGGCAAACCCAAACAGGAGACCTTTTCTCACTCCACTTAAAATAACTGTCCTTTTAAAGAGGTCCGCTCAGAATGCCTGTTTAGACCCAATTTAAATCTTATGATCAGAATATTCATTCCTTGTGCTCTGTGGCTTCATTTCTTATGAGACTGAAAGGCTAGTGGTTGGGGCGCAGCTACCACATCCTCCCAAACGTGCCCATCTGTGGAGGTTAATAACTCCTGACCCTTTTAGGCCCGATGCCACACCTAATTATAATTATTCTCTCATGATGAAAATAGAAAAGAAAAAAAAAGACTATGACTTTAGGAAAGACTGGCCTTCAAAAATAAACACAAACACTACAAACCATTTGTGGTGTTCTATTTTTAATTTTGACATCAATGTTTTTACCAAAGTTTCATTGCTTTTTTTTCTTTACTATACATATATATGTATATATATATATATATACTCTCATCCTGTTCATCTGATTTAGCTTATTTTCTGCAGCTTGGAAATGCATAACTCAGCTGACTGTATCCTGTATACCTGTGTTATAACTCAGAAGGTGGGATGATGCTTGACACAGAAGACAAAGAGAGTCCTCTGTCTCCTTTCACAGGCAAACACTTAACATCAGTGCAATGAATACAAATAACACCAGAGAAAGAGTGAGCCTCTTCTTTAATTAGACAGCTTTGATCATAGAGGTCCTCCTCCGTGCCGTGGTCCCTCTAACCTGGAGAGATCAATCGTTGCAAGTAAAGGCAGCCTGCAGCCGAGCAACATTTTCCTAAAAGCATTTCTCTCTGAACATCAGGAGACAAAGGGCTGTCAGCAGTCAGAGACACAGTTTGTCTTTGAAAAGTAAAGGTGGAGTCAGATGACACACAGCTGGCATAAGATATTTCTGTTAAAGCCTCACTGCTTTAGAGAGGAGGCATCTTATGGTGGTTTAGTCATTACAGTTCAGGGATTTAACAGGATCAAAAAGCATTTATGCAGCTTACACTTGTTTTTATTTTCAGTGTTTCAGTCATAAATTTAAATGTATCTTGTGGGAACTTTTTCTCGCCATAGGTCCGACACAAAGACAAGCATAAAGGTAAAAGGAAGGGAAAGGATCCCGTGTTTTTGTTACTAAATAAAATTCTAGAATGCAATTTAACC